CCACTGGTTCGCTAGCTCCATGATCACGCGGTATTACCGCATATACTCTGCCTGTGGCTGGATACTGCTTTGTTGCTAGTGCTGGAGAATACGGAACTATCTGCCCCTGAGGAACCTCCTGAACTACACGAATTTTCCCCTCAGTCTTCTGTGCTGCTGGCGGTGCCTCAAGTCTCGTCTACTGGCCCTGACCTCTGCCCTGCTGTCGCTGTTGCTGCTGGTTCGGACCCTTTCCCTATTGAGCTCCTGCTGGTGTGCTATGGCACTCCGATGCCTTATTTCCGACCTTGTGATAGTTAAAACACACTCCCTAGAACTTGCGCTGTTGATGCGCTCTCTGATCCTGCTAAGGTCCCTTCTTATGAGGGCCTTGCTGTTGCTGCTGGGATCCAAAAAAAGGCCTCTTGTTCTTGCCCTTATCCCTTGTCTGCCCTGCCTTGGTCTTCCCTTCCTTATCCTTCTGAAACATGGCAGTCTCAATCTCCTGTGATGTGGCGGCTTCTGCTACCTCTCGAACTGAATAGAACTTCCTCGAGACGAGGTATCGACGAAGATTAGGACGGAGCCCTACTAAGAACATCTGAGTCTGGCGCTCTCCTGTCTGCCACATGCCCATGAAGTGCAGTAACTCCATAAATCTACTCTCAAAATCTGCCACTGACATGTCCCCCTGAGTTAACCAGGACAACTCAAGCTCCTTCCCAGTCCGTACTATAGAAGAAATATACTGTCCATCGAAGAAATAAATAAAGTCCTCCCATACGAGGGTCATTTGGTGCTCTGGAGTGAAGTGGAGCCTATACCATCTCCCGGCGTCTCCCTTCAGACTGTAGGACGCTAATCTCTGCTTCTGGACCGAATCCACATTAAGTATATCGAGGATGTTACTCACATCCTCCTTCCACTTATGGGCTGCAAGAGGATCTGCTGACCCCTGGAACTCAGGTGCTCTCATCTTCTGGTACCTCTCAACCATACGGAGCCAAGCCTCCTGCTCTGTGGCTCTATCTGGGACTGTTGGTGGAATAGCTGTAGGTACGGCCTCTGGGGGTCTCTTATTGATAGGAACTACTGGTATCCCCTGCGACTGATCTGCTGGTGGTGATGGTGGTGGTGGTGGCGCGACATGATTCGCCACAAGCTCCTCAATTGCTTCCATCCTAGTTATGATGGGAGCCATGAGATCAATAAGATACTGGGAAGCCTGTTGTGGCTCAGGTAGAGTCTGCTGTGGCTCCGGTTGAGCTTGATGTGGCTCAGGTAGAGCCTGCTATGACTCTGCCTGTCCAGCTCTCCGAGTACGAGGTCTACCACGTCCTGCCATCTCTCTGATCATAAAATAAATAAGAGTTTATGAGTCAAAATAGACATATACACATACATAGCATATCACAATATGATTTTCACAACAATTTAGTATTCACACAAATACTTTAAATTTACACAAAAATAGTTGTCATAAAAAAATATCCTTAAATTTCGAGATATAAACATATATCGTCCTCACTCATACTAGGGAATTCTTACGGACTCTATTCATGAATCCTAAGAAACTCTATCCTAGCTCCACGACTCGACATAAGATGATCCTAAGGATACTGGAACTAGAGCTCTGATACCAACTGTGATGCCCCTGGGTTCACACAAGGTTACAGTCCAAGGTAAAATCAAGAATGTCAAACCTGTCATGCACCACACCGTGCAATAATATGTTTTACCATCACAATTACTATCTCTCTAGTAGAGTCAATAAAAGATGTAAGTACATAAGCAAGTAAAAGATAATACCGAAATCAACAGATAAAATAATAGAAATCAAATTAATATTCCATCATCTAGCATACTGAAGTACAAGTCAATGCCTAAAATAAATAAACTGGAGTACTCAACAAGTCTCAAATACAAAATATCTAACAAGAGGAAATAAGGCACACAACATTTTCAACTTCTAGAATAAAACTCTCAAATGTCTAAACAAAAGTCTACAGTAGAGCTCAAAAGAAAATATAACTAAATAGACAGCTAAAACTAATATGCATCGCCATCAACCTGTGACTCTCTAGGCTCCTGGCTCGTTACCTGAAAGGGGAAGGGACAACGAGCGTCAAAGCGCTAGCGAGCAACATCACAACCAACCCCAAGGGAAAGGGCTCGTTGTATATCGAAAATACAGTTAATACATACATATATGAAATCACTGATCCTATTTAGGTCATTACAACGTGAGCATAAGTACGCCGAGCGAAATAATCCAAACAAGGAAATCCTCATGTATATACCTTGTAGCTCAAATTGTAATTTACTTACGTATAAGAGGATTTTAGTATTTACAAAATTACAACATGAGCATAGGTACGTCGAACGAAATAATCCTAACAAAGAAACCCTCATGTATATACCTTGTATCTCAAATTATAAATCCCTAAATACCTAACCCAAAATCTAATGCAAGCACAATAATAAAAGAAGACAAACTCATCTCAGAACTTAATTACAGTGTCATGTCACAACTCATATAAGTGTCATGTCCAGTCTATACAAGTATAAGTGTCAACTCAAGGTTTAAACTGATGTCCAACACATGAACAAAAGGTAAATGTCCAACACGAGGACTAAAACGGATTATAGTCCAACACGAGGACTGAACAAACTGTGTAACTATCGATGAGATAAGTGGAAAGATATACCTATACGAATTTCACACACGCCTCGGTGTGTAAACTTAAACTCGTGTCCGCATATCATCTCACATGTAAAGATGCAAGTTAAACAATAAATTTGAATATCAGCTATCCGAGGCGACTCCTCGTTCATATAGAAGCATGCAAAGACAGTAAACATGCCCAAACGGTTTCGGTTAAAACAAAACAACTCAAACAGATCCAAAACAAGGAAAAACTAGAAATTTCCTCGTCAGTCGACTCATGAGTCGACTGGGATCATCACTCGACTCATTAGTCGACCTGACAGACATAAACTAAGAAAGACAATAAATTTCCCGTAAGTCAACTCATTGGTCGACTCATCAGTCGACTCATGAGTCGACTGATAAGTCGACTCATTGATCGACTGAGCAGAAAATTCCTAGTTTCTGTTTTCGTTGATTATTTGCAAAGAAGTTAACCTAAATTTCTTCTTCATCATTTCCAGCAACATAAATATCATTATTACACATATGTAACAAACTGAAACGAAAGATATGCATGTAATCACTTACATTAAAACCCTAAACATATTTATATATGTTTAAAAATGTATTAAAAACAATAAATCACATTAAAACTCATCTTTAAACAAATTCCAGATCTGGATCTATATTACAAAACGTTGGTGAGCTTTTATTAACCAAAACATTTGACTTCTCGCATCATACGCTATAGAGATATACTTTTATACGCAAAATAATGATTTAGGCTCAATAAATCCGAAATAAAACCAAATAAAACTATACAAACAGTGGGTATAGGGCTGGGCGAGATGTTACTCGCCTCTGATATGCTGTTGGATCTCCAGAAATGAGAGAGAACAAATCCCCCTTCGCTGAAATGCCCAAAACTGCTGAAAAACTCCCCGAATCCCTCAAACTTGCCGCCGAAAACTGGATCTAGGGTTAGAGAGGGAGAGGGTGCTAGGGTTCTAAAAACTGATGGAAAAGGGTTGGTTTCGGGTAAAAGGAATTATATAATATGGTTAAAACCCGAACGAAACTTAACCAAACCCGCAACTAAAAATAAAACCCGAAATCAGCCCGTTAGTCGACTCATCGGTCGACTCATCAGTCGACTCATAAGTCGACTCATAAGTCGGCTCATAAGTCGATTGAGCAGACATTTTCCAGATCCGTGCATGTTTTTGCTAATTTGTCAAAACCAATGCACAAAACTCTATAAAAATACATTCATACATATCTGATAACTTGTTATCCAGTATATCAATAACCTCAAGTCATTTACCACAATAGAATTATTTATCCCCAATAATTCACATATACTTCTAATAAAAAAATATGGGGTTTTACATGATCCTACCGTGTTCATACTTGGTAACGTCAATCTTCGCAAAAAAATTCCACACATCGGATCTCAGCCTTTTAGGAGCTCTTGGTGCAATAGATTCGTCGCCACCAGATTCAGGATTAACACCGGTAGGAGAAGGAGTAGTTGTTGTAGGAGGACTCATTTCTGGATCGGTAGGAGATAGGTGTTGCTCTTCATAATCAGATTCAGAAGCCATTTGATAGAAGTATTAGAAAATATAAGAGATATAAGAGAGTATAATATTGCATAAGAGAGTATTAGAGAGAAGTAGAAGAGTTTTGGTGTGAGGAAAAGAAGTGAAAACCCTCCTCTATTTATAGAGGCAGTCCCCTAGGCAAATGACCAAAAAACCCTCATAGTCTAGCCTTTTTTTACCATTTTAAGGGGCAAATCGGTCAAATGGCCAAATATGGCCATTTGGCCTGTTCCGGGACGAGCCGGGGCCATAAACGGTCAAAATGACGCGCCGGGTCGGGCCAGCCCGGCCATATCCGGCCAACGGTCACAAATTGTAACTGTCGGGCCGGGCCGAGCCGGGCCGGTTTTTCATCACGGTCACCCAGGGTGACCTTGTTGCCTGGCCGCCCGGGCTCGACCCGGCGCTGACCGGCATCATATTTTGGGGCCGGGCCCGGACCCGGGTTTGGCCCGGGTTTCCGGGCCGACCCCGGGACCGGGCCGCGGGTTTTTTGGACACCCCTATGAATAGGTAGGTGGACTCCAAAAACATAGAAACTCAATTCCTATAAAAAAAATACGGAAATGAGCTTAAAAGTTGGAAAAGTGGACCATACATTATTTTCTTGATTTCATTTCTTTTTCTTGTTTTCATTTCTTTTTCCTAGCTTTTAGGAAACTAACCAATCGGCCTTTTGACGGTGATGGTGGGTGTCAAGAACTCGTTCATCTGAAAACCCTGTACGCTGTTTAAATACTGACAGCTTGCTCTAGCTCAAACTGCCTCTTTGTACGCGCCAAAATCGGAGGAGGCCTCCTCTTCAATAATTTAGGGTTCCTCTGAAACTGTAACGCTACTCTCCCTCTCTGAACTCGACTCCTCTCTCAAAATTCTCCCATGGATCCATCCATCATTAGACTGCTTGAAGACGACGAGGTCGAGTTTTTTCATCAATTTTCAACAACAATATCGCTTGAACATTTCTCGATTCTATTTTACCAAAAGAAAAAACTAATTTTGACTCGTTTTGGGGGTGAAATTAGCAGGATGAAAGTATGCATTCGGGCGCGGATGTGGAGGCGTTCACGGCGGCGTTGAATCGGGATATTGAAGGGAATAATTCTTCCTTAAATCAGCCCTTTGATTCTGAATCAAGTTAGGGTTTCTTGAACCCTAAAACCGAAGACATTGGTTTTATTTGCTCTAGAGTTTATGGATTCTTATATCTAGGAGATCACTTTTTGATTGAGATCGATGTGCTCTGATGGCGGTGGCGTAGAAAGCTAGAAGAAGAAATTGTAGTTCAATTTTGGTCCTACACGTGCAAGGAAAGTTGAATTGTGTTAATTTTAGGCTATATAGCAGAAAACCTCTTTACTTTGGATGACTATTTTTCCTCAAAAACTTTGGATGCTTATTAGATAACCCCCATAAATTTCAAAACATTAGAAATCCCCCTTCAAGTTTAGGGGTTATCAGAAAACCCCCTTTAACTTCAATATTTTTCTCATAAAACTCCCTGACAGCATTAACTGCAATTTTCGCATGGGTGTGTAAAATTGCGCAGGGGGATGTTTTTCCCATTGAAATTCATTGTTCATGCTTTTCTGGGTTTTTTGGGAAAAATGTTGAAAGTTAAAAGGGGTTTTCTGATAACCACTAAACTTAAAGAGGATTTTCTGATATTTTGGAAATTATGGGGGGTTATCTCATAGTCGTCCAAAGTTAGGTGGGCTTTCTGATATTTAACCTTAATTTTACTGAAAAATTTCACTTTTCTCAGAACTAGAAGTAAGTCCTGGGGAGTTTTGCCCTTTCTTCTAGTGTAGGGCTGAAACTGGGTCAGTTTTGGAGAAAAAGATGGTTGAAACTGGGTTGGTTTTGGCGAAAAAAATACCAAACTTCACGGGACTTGAAGTTCCGTGAAGTTTTTTACATAACAAAACTTCACGGCACTTAAAGTCCCGTGAAGTTTCAGACAATTTTTCGTCAAACCGATCCAGTTTCAGCCAGATGGCTGAAACTGAGTCGGTTTTGATAAATAAGATGCAAATGAGTTGTTTTGTATAAATAAGTTTCAAAAGGGGTTTGTTTTCAAAAAATTTCCTATCTAGGGTCACCTTGGAGTAATGACCTTTGCACCATGATTCATGTCTTACCAACTTTCTTGAAGTTCTTCACTTTGTTCACTAATGCACATGTCAGTGTACTCAAATTGTATGTTATAGTCGTCTACTCAATGAACTTATGGTAGTTTTAAGTGCATGATATAGTCATCTATCCAATGAACTTATAGCAATTTTAAGTGCATGATTTTTTGCAACATCATGTTAAAGTCCAATTTCATAATCATCGAGTTCAAGTTATCTGATCATCCATCAGCAAGTCCCTTGTTGATCACATAAGTTAAGATTAATCCTAGATGACTATTGCAATCACCTAGTTTGCAGTAATTATCAGGAAGAGCTTGGTACAACAATAAAGAGGAAATTGGAAAGATAAGGAAGCCCTGGATTGAAATTGTCAGACATTTCGGTGCGTAGTTTTCCATTAAAAAGAAAAGGTTCTTCGTGTTTCCTAAATTGTTTTGTGTAAATCAAGTGATTTATTGATGGGACAGAAAGAATGCGGGTTGTAGTCATCATGATTAGATTCCATTAGCGCCTAAACTGAGGTGTTCATTACGGGCGTTGCAGACAACTGCAATGCATGCTCACTCAGTAGTACGTACCTGCCAAGTGATGTTGTATACTTGGAAAGGGAGATGAACTCCATTGGTAATAAAAGGTCGTGTGTACTAGATAAAAGCCTAAAAGGGAAGGACAAAGTTTCTGTGGTATCAAACTACTTTGGGTATGTTGCACGTATGGAAAACTAGGAAACGAATTAGTTGGGGAAATTTTTTTCTTGAGTAACCAGGGGAAGATGCCCGAATATTATTAGCTAGAGAAAAGATACAGAATATACATGGAAGAGAAAGGAAGAAAGGAGGGAGAAGTACAATAGAAGGTAACTGGCATGATTAGAAAAGGAATATTTGGAAAACTAAACTAGTCAACTTTCTGAATCAAGGTGTCACTCCATTTTGATTCAGTCATCTATTCCGGTGTAAAGTGATGCTATCATACCAAAAAGAAAATGACCGTACAATCGAAAGACAAAGAGTGTCAGGTTCTCTGAATTTATTATAGAAAATCCTATCGTTTCATTCATTCCAAAGTCCTAGAATTGAGAATCGTAAAACCACATCCTCAAAACTAATAGTGGAAAGAACCATGTAGAGATAAGAATCCGAGTGAAATTGCTAGAGAGCAATCTAATTTTTCCCCTAGATCGTCCAACATGGTAAGAATTTCTTTCCCACAAGGAAGGGATAGACAATTTTCTAGAGAATATAATGGCCAGTTGCCGAGTTAGGAATTTTGGTAAGGAGAGTCGAAATTAGAAGAGAGAAAAACATAGAAAATGAATCAGAATAATGTCTGGTGGAGTGCGAGAGATGGAGGTGGAGGAACACAGGCAGATGAAGGTGGAGGGAACACATGCGGATAAGGGCGGAGAGAACACTCACGAGAAACACAAACGACTTGTGATCTATTTGCAATTTGTTCGCGACTCACGAGAGGAATGGAAAAAAATTGAGAGTTCTAGGGATCATACATTTACCATCTATGATTTATGAAGTTATTATTAACCTAGGCATTTTTTTTCTTTTGGGGGTGTTTGTACAAATACCCCTTAAATTATGCATATTTGCATATGTTTCCCTCAAATTTCAATGTTTTCAAAACTATCCCAAATCATCAACAACTCTGGGAAAAAAATACCTCCCATATCAACAAATCATTAACTTTGATAGGTTAATTTTTAACTGCGATGTAAAAATATCAACAAAATAGTCAAACATTTACTTACTCACAATATCCAGCAAAGTTTATGGCAAGACACTTTTTTAAAGTTGATATTGATATTTGGGTTTAGTTTGCAATATTGAGATTTTAGAATTTTTGCAAGTGTGCATTATGTTTGGGATGTTTCATAAATATTTATATATTTGAAAATATACAAAAATCAAGGAGGGTCCAAGGCCCCTTTGGGCTTTAGCTAGCTCTGCCTCTGATACTGCCAGAGCCCCTTTAAGGTACTTTTTAGCTTCCTAGAGTTGGAGAGACCCTCTACAAGAAACAATTCGAAAGAGGTATATGGAGATGTTAATGCTCTCTAAGATTCATGTCAAAAAAGGAGGTCAAATGTACAACCTAATAGCTGGGAGCAAATAAAATACTAGGACGAAGTGGGTTGCTTATCCTGTTATAATGGGCATTTTAGGATGTAATTAACATGATATAACAAACTTTGCGTACAAGTTGTGTATGAGGAAAATCTCCAAATTGATAAACATTTATATCTTGGTAATTTTATGTCTGTATGATTAGTAGTTTTGAGATAGTCTACTGCTTCAATTAATTGTGATATTAAAATTATTTAGATCTTTGTTAGTAGAGTTAATGAGACCTTTGGAGATCTAGTGCATGACTGAAAAAATGGTCTTATATTGCAAATTGACACATTTTGAAAGAGTGTACGCTTCCAAATCACAACTCTTAACGAAGAACATTCCTTTATGATGGTTGTGTCCTCTGCACCGGAAAGGTTGGTAATAATTATCAGTCAGACTACTTTATGTAGGGAGGTCTTGACAAGAGTGAGAACTCCTTGCATAAAAGCTACTTAGTTTGATCCACTTGCATTCAAACAAGGAAGAGTTCTTAGAGTTCGATGTAGAGTTAGACCTAACCATATACTATTTGAATATTTTCTATTAGGCATTTGGAATGAGCATTAC